GTGAAAATTGCACAATATAAATCTATTCTAGTAGACCTCAACAATGGAATTATGATCAGTAGAAATGGCCGTGACATGGGACCTTTAACCCCAAACAACTGAAGCGCACGTGGAGGTCATATGTGATTTCAGATATTCAAAAATCCCAAATATTTTACAAATATCAAACATTTTTGACCTGATTACCAATGAAAAATGATTACAGGTTTAGGTATTACCAAATATAGTTCAAGTTGTCTTGGAGAGAACCTCAATGTATTTACAAAATCAATGGTAATCAACCCTACAATTGTTTAAACACATCAGTCTGGGCCAAAGTGGACCTAACGTTGCAACAAATAAAATAAAAAAAGATGATTTTCACTGTGAATTACTTGTGATAGAAAACCACTTCTGTTTCGCCTCTGGCCACGTCCCATTCAGTGAAGTCACAGCAGGTGTTTCCCATCATCTGTTGAATCAAACCTGCTGTAATATCAGCGATGGGCGCTTTGGCCAGAAGGGCACAATTTAAAACATGTTCATCCTTAAGGAAGGACCCATGCAGCAACCAATCCTTTTTACTTTAAATAATACTAGGGTTCAGATTGAAAGCTTAGTTGGTGAGGCCAAACAATAAAATATATACATCACAAGCTGGAAAGGAGTGGCAGGCATTTCCTGCAGAGTAACATGTGTCTACCTGGCTGAGAGCCCATCAGATAGAGGCTTAAGATCTTAAACTGAGGCTCTGGTTGAAATGTGTTTGAAGTGCGGTCAAGTATTAAGAGGCAGCCCTTATCAGAACTGTATACATTGTTTTAAATTGTTCAGAAAAGGTGTCTCAATGCTTTCTTTCTTAACTCCTCCAGAACTGGATACAGCGTTGGAGGCGGGACTCCCATTCATTTCTATGAAAGTTGATCAGTGGTGCATGAAGACAAAATTAGCTGACTCGAGAGCATAAGTTCGGCTTTAGAGCATTTCACAACTTTAAGACCATAATGATTTAAATAAGGGCTATAAAAGTGTTCGTACTGGGTAGTTTATTCAGCACAGACGTCCCTTTCCCAATGTAAGTCAATGGGGAAAAGTTTTTTGGGCCCAATGATGTAATGGACTTGACAGAAGTTGTAGTATCAAGGTTTGTCCCTTACTCAAATTTGTTTCAACGTCCGGCACACTTTCTGGGGGCTTGCATAGTATGCCATGCCTAACTAAAGGAAAGGAGATAATGCCATTCCGTAGTTCCTTGGAGAAGAAAGATTTAAAGTGACGCGACTGCTGTCACTGTTAAATGACTATTACTATATATACTGAAAGTACACTATGAATAAATTAAAACATCCTTCTTAGATGGTGCCATTCAGTCTCGAACAGGAATGGAATAAGTATACATTATTTATGGTGTCACTCTAGCGGTGGTTAATATTCTGCTGACTTCACTTCATTTTCTGCATTGACACATTATGCAAAACACGAAAGTTGCATGATACAAATATATTTTTACTCTGCACTGGGCATCTGTTTCACCTTTCAACTGGACTTTTGGAAGCAAATAGTTCTTGATGCGGCAGGATGACTTAAAACTAAACATATTTGGAATTAGTCAAATAACACTTCCAACCAGATGATTTTACTGAATAGCTCGAAAGCAGTAAACAGCGAAGGACAGGCTCATAGATACCTGAACACAAAAGAGCCTGAGACACCTGAGGCAACACTTGACACATATTGACCGTAACTTGACCACATTGTTCAGATAATTGTGATCGTAATTTACACTCTATCTGTTGACAGCCAGGTGTGTTTCAGCATTTGACAGTAAGCAAAAAAATGGATTGACTTGTAACTGCAGACAGTTAAATTATGGGTGTTTTGAAGACTATGTCCATTAGTTGAGGAGGAATGTAAAAGCAAAAAGGAACTACATGTTATACTGTGTGTTTGTATGTGGGTTTGTTTTTCTCCCTGTGTGTGTGTATTTGTGTTTCTCTTTACTAATAACTTCGTATTTACAAGGATGAGTTCTCCGTCCTCCAGGTGTGAGATGCTAAAGGGTTCACACCCTAACCTAGTTTGACCTCTGATGACCCAGAAGGTCGAGAGACATTAGTCACTTCGGTAATGACCTTCACAGACAGAGTGAGGTTTGATAGTAATACTGCAAAAAGAACATTGTCTTTACTTAGTTCTCACTATTTCAAATCTTTGTTCTTAATACACCATTGAGACTTGTTTAAATAAACTATAATTAAGTTTCCTGCAGACACTTTTTTAAATCTTTGATACGAAGCCAGATTGAAATACATTATTTAAAGGCCTTCGGGACATAACATCAATCTTTTTTCAGATTTCTCTCTCAGTTTCTTCGCCGACAGCACGTGGAGGCAACATGGTGGAGTCTTTGCCGAATCACCTTGCTTGCTTTCACAGTGGATCGATGATGTAATCCTAAATAAAACAGATGGATGCTGACTTGCAAAAACGTACACATTAAGTGAGGAAAACAACAGATGTAATGAAGTTAATGACTTTTTGCTTTTTGTTGAGTGCCGGTTGATAACTGTACATTTTATGGACGGTAAATCAGCAAATTAGGAGTCACTGACTAAACAACCTAATCTCAAGGTCCCTTAAGAAGCTGATCTGGACCTTACTAAAATACACCATGATAAACTTGTTTCCGAGGCCTTAAATACTTTGAAACTCTACTTTTAAAGTAGTATTAAGTCGTTTTTTCAATGGTCTTCTTTGGGAAATACACTAAAACGCTTTCTTGCCAAGTGTTAACCTTCGCTAGTTCGCTAACAACCCAACATGGAAATACTCCAGGAATTTACTGCCTCCGGCCAACAAACAGTCTGGAACATTAACCTTTTGATGAAGTTATTTTCACTGTTTGCTTTGAGAACGGATTAACAGAATCAATATATTCAGAATCACGATCTGGTTTATTGCCAAGCAGGTTTTCACTACCCAAGATTTGGCAAGGTAAATTGCATTACATAATAGTAGTTTTGTGCTAAAATGTGGAAAGGTTCACAGTAAAAATGAGATTCAACATGTCTATAGATGGACTTAACAGTGCCAGAAAGAAGATTGTGTTACCTTTGGAAACGTCATGCTCGCTGTTTAGATCTGCCTTTGTGCAAATGTTGCTCAACAATTGGATTGACTGTACTTACATGAAAGAACATCTACAATTTATGACAATTTATAAACGCCACCTGCCTGCATAGTTTGATTTACAGCTCCAGAAAGGCTTCCAAACGGACCTTGAGGTGAAAGTATTTGACTGTTTTGTTGTTTTTGTAACAATCCCAAAAATGTCTGTTTCGTTGTTCTTGGTGCCACCTATTGCAATACGCAGCAACTGAATGTGTGTTTTTGGTTCTTATATTAACTTTAAGCATTCTCTTCTGTAGTAATTGCTCTTTTATTTGTTTGTTCGGCTAAAGTAATTGTTTACTTTCAATGCCATCATAGAGCGGTGCGTTGTTTAACACACAAGTGGTTGCAATATGCAACCTCACCACTAGATGTCACTAAATCATACACGCTACTCCTTTAAATGTTTCGAACTTGTTACTTTAATTATAATATAAACTATAAAGTATATTTATAAGTTGGACTATATTTAGAATAAATTGACTAATTTGAACTGACCTGATGCATAAGGTCTAATTTAACTGGTCACATGAGGTTAACAGACAGTAAGTACATATGGCTTAAGTTAGTGGCATTGTAAGGGACTACTTTGAAGTTTTCTATACTTTTTATGGTCTCAATGTCTCCCTAAAACCTGTCTTCTCAAATACATTAACGCAAACTTGAACTCATCCTGATAACCATCAGTGACACCAGGCTCTAAAAGCCCCTAAAGAGCAAAGTCCTCCTCGTGTTTCCAGTAAAGCTTGGGGGTCTGCTAGACTCCCTGTTAGAGTTCAGCACAGCTCACTTTAATTTGCCTCAGTCTGCTCCCCATTACCCAGCTGTAGCTATAGGTTCAATCTCCTGCATGTTGCTGTATGAGAGCACACTGATGCGGCAGGTATGGCAGAACAAGTCTAGACATATAAACCGATGCCTTTCGACTGTTTCGCAAATGTGCAGAGGGCTCAAGGAGCCCAGAAATATTCAGTTCAATAAGCTTCATGTCTGCATGACCTGGCATGACAAAAGTATCCGTCAAAAAAGCCCATTTACTAGAAGTTAGGTGGAAAATTACTTTTTCTGCAGGGGAGAGGAAGGAGTTCACCCATCATTGACAAATTAAATTCAAACAACACATCAGACATTGTTCAAATGGCTGATATTTAGTATGTTTCCTAGAAAGGACTAAAAATTATGTTAAGGATGACATTGAATCTTTGATCAGCTCATCAGGGCCTGGAGGGCAGGTGATGACAACTGATGTCACACAAGAGAGAGAAAGACGTGTGAGGAAAGAGTAAGAATTACTAATACAACCTGAAAATGTTATAAGGGTGGTAATATATATTTTGTTAAGTGTAAAAGTCTACTACACAGTTTAGTGGTAAGAAACCAGTGACTTGTATATTGTATTTTTCTCTTTGCTGTTATTACTGCTTTCATAACTACTTTTATTTACGTGTTCTATGTGTAACTGCATCAAGAGAAGCCTGCGAGTAAAATAACAATTGATACTGATTGTGAGAGCTCGCGACCCATCGGCTCAGTCTCTGCTGGTTCGAGTCCGGCCTGCGGTCCCTTTACGCGTGTATTAAAATCCCCTTTTAACACAGTCAGTCTCCAATAAAGGCTAAACTGGTCCCCAAAAACTTAAAACAACATGTAAGCAAGTTTATTTTTTGAAAACGTCCTTAACATGTTCAGCCTACCTGCACTTGAGGTGTGAAACACGGAGACGAGCATCAACAGCAGCCATGTCTCTCGCACTGGACTCCATCGATCCATCATTTTGCATTTGAAGCTATCGATGCGTCGCTAGTAATTCCCTCGTGGCTCCCTTTCGTCACCTGAAGTCAAGAGAAGATGTTGGCTCTGCACGCGAGAGTCTAGGAACTGCTGCCTCGCGCACCTCACCGGCTGCTAATTAAGAGCGCGCACGAAAAAGGGCTGATGTCATTGATGGGAAATTATATTTAGCAGCAATTACTATCCTGTATTCACGGTGTTTCTTCAGGGTGGACGGATAAAGAAGGGAGAGCAGCGGGGGGATATCACTTAATCTCGGACGGTTTTTCCCTCTTCACCCGCCGACAACTTTCCTCACTTTCCTCACTTTCTCTCCTCTCCTCCCCCCTCGCCCCTCTCTCCTCCGGGGTGACCCCTCCCTCCCAGGAGACTGAGGAGAAGTACTCTTTACTTAAGTAATAGTAATGCCACAGTGTAGAAATACTCTGTTCCAAGGAAAAGCCCTGAGTGCAAAAGTATTTGCATCAAAATAATGGTAAGTAACTAAACTAAAAGTACTCATGAAGAATACGAGTGAGTAACAAGTAGTTGCCTCGAACTTGTAATGGAGTGCAATTGAGAAAAGTAAAGTAAAAATATTCTCGAAAATATACTTAAGTAAAAGAGCTGGAGTAAAAGTACTTAGCTACTTTCCACAAATAAGCTGTGCAGAAACATAATGACTGTGCGTGGCATTATTTGCATCATCTGAGTGATGATGTCTCTCTCTATTTATCTCTTGTGCACACATGCACATTCATTGATGCTTCCGACACACACACGTTCAATAGGCTTCATGACATTTTTGATACATTACAATACATGTTATTAAGCTAATGCCGTTTATCCAAAGCAACTTAAGAGTCCGGCACATGCTTGTTGGAGAAATGAAGGTATCTTGCCCAAGATCAATCTGACATTTCAACTGCAAATGTGGGATCAAATCACTGATCCTTTAATAAATATACCTTTATTCCCCCCTGAGCCACACAAGCTTCAATGTTTAAATAAAAACCTGCTTACAAAGCTTCTCTCAACAGGACTAAGCATGACATATCCATTATGAACAATACAAGATTGTGCCACTTTATAAGCAATGATCTCTCTCCACACACACACACACACACACACACACACACACACACACACACACACACACACACACACACACACACACACACACACACACACACACACGCACACACGCAGCATGCTAGGACAGGACACCGTTGCTGCCCAACTAATAAAAATATGCTGCAGCAGATTCGAAATTCCAGTGCCTGTCTGTCTTTGCCCACGCCACACTCTGTTCAAACACTCATATTCTTCCTATAGGCACCATAATAATAATAATAATAGTAATAATAATAATAATAATAATACAAGAAAAGTAAAATGTTACTTCCTGCCTTCTACTTCAAGGGTTTGTGATTCTCTATCTGTGGTGTGAAAGGGTCCAAAGTGACGAGCAGCTGGGGAAGTGTCAGAAAGTTTATAGGAGTTTATAGGGAGCTGTTATAAGGTGAAAGAAGGGAGGCTGATCAGAGCATGCACACACATGCATACGTGCACATGAATACCTATATGGGCCTCAAGTCTGTCCTGTCCTGCTTCTGCTCCCATTTTCATTAGTGTGTATTGTCTAAGGAGATATGTGATACTTAGATAATATGTAGGCGACAATATGACTTAAAAAGATGAGCAGGTGAGTCAGGATTGACAAAAAACAAACAACAAATAAGTTTAAAATCAGAAATAGTGTTATCATGAAACCTCTTTTGCACACTTTTAGTCGGAAAATATAACTTACACTTGCACGTTAAGAAGATGGCTGGCTTTAAAGTGAATGTTGTTGTTGGTATAATGAAGGAATAACTACTTCTTGGCGCAATTTGGTGTCATTTTGCAGGAGCATTGTGTAAAAAGTACTATGCATGTATATATTGCATAGTTGTGCAGGTGAGAGCTAAATGAACCCTAAATGCTTTGCAGCCTTATACCAATAAACATATTGTATTGTGTTTTTGTGAATGTACTGGATGTATTTGAAGACATTTGGGATATATAAGAGATAAGATAAGAGATAAGATAAGAGATAAGATGCTGTAAATAAAGTGTACAATTATAACAATAGCTTCATGTTTTGTTAACAGTGCTGGTTTGGTAACAGAAGTACATAGCATGCAGACACACACACACACACACACACACACACACACACACACACACACACACACACACACACACACACACACACACACACACACACACACACACACCTGCATACTAACCTTTTCTAAGAAGAAAAAGAAGAAGAAATGGATTCCAGGCATATTTTCAAATGCCATTCCTCTCGCTTCAAGTAGGTTGTCTTAAAGGTATGACTGTCAGCGGCGCTTTAATGTTCAAGTGTGTATGGTTTGTGTGTGCGTGGGTGGGCAAAAGAGAGAGAGAGAGGGAGAGACATTTTTGCATGGTTTACTGATCATAATTATTACTTCTCTGACACTCTGATAAAAGGAGTCTTCAGGCATCATCACATATACTGGAGCCAGATGTGTGTTGCCTTTGATGAATTGGAGATGTCATTCCATTCATAGAGTGAGGGCTGATTGATTTAAACAATAACCATGTTGACCACTGGGCGGCGCTGAATGTACATGATATGTGACTATAGTATAAAGTGGGGAACTTATTCACCACATTCCTGGTCAGAAAAGATTGTCAGATGGTTTGTTTGTTTTAGAATAAGCCATGTGTACAGCACCGTCATGGAATAAAACAAAGTAGATTGTCAATACTCCCACAGGGGGATTGACCGGGGCAGCCAGGCTCAGATAATCTCACTGTTGTAACGCCGTGTCCATGTGACTCTCTCTCTGACTCTCTTATCCTCTTACAGCGGCTCTCATCTCAAATCGCAGCTCATCCTACAGAGCCGCTGCAGACAGAGTGACAGCAGAGTGGAGAGGCAGCAGAAACATGGCGACTCCCGGGCAGAAAGTGGTGCTGATCACCGGCTGCTCCTCCGGCATCGGCCTCAGGATGGCCGTGATGCTGGCCAAGGATGAACAGAAGCGCTATCACGGTGTGTGTGTGTGTGTGTGTGTGTGTGTGTGTGTGTGTGTGTGTGTGTGTGTGTGTGTGTGTGTGTGTGTGTGTGTGCGTGCGTGCGTGCGTGTGTGTGTGTGTGAGAGAGAAAGAGAGAGACATATTGTTTATTGTATGTGATTGAAGTTACGCATCAGTTATGTTCAGCTTCTTTCCTTGATTTTTAAATACATATAACTGTTAACAGGGTTGTTTATGTACTGTTGTACTAGCTCGTACAATATGCTTTGGCAATACTGTGTTTTCATAAGGACATGCCAATAGCTTATTTGAGTTTGAGAGAGAAATATATTATTTTATTCAGGATTTTTTAAAAGCACACTGGTTTCTTACGCTTTAACTCTGCTTTTGTTCAAACGGTATACAACGGTATACTCCACATGTTTATGTATAGATTTTGTCCCACAGTCATTAATTATACAATTATGTGGCAATACTGTTTATCAAATTAAATTTGAGAGGAGAGATTTGTTCATTTATTTTACTATTTGTAGACAGTGGCTTGTAATATGGCTACATTTATACTGCCAAAGCATATTGACAACTTATATACGTGTAAATAGTTATAACTTTGAATTGTAATTGTTACATGATTTGTTAAACCCTTTATACATGTGCTGTTACCAGTCCTCAACTAGAACTGTGTACACTAGTATTATAGCTCCACATGATTATGTAGATTAAAGCCACTGTGTCTGTGCATCTGGATTCCCAGCAAGCAGGGATTCCCTCTAAAGCTGACTGAGAGGCTGTTTGCAGTGTTTTGATTATTTTAAATCTGAACCACATGAGGGCAAATGAGGATCCCATTAAGACTTAATAACTGAGAATCAATAACACAACTGTTTCATGAAAGGAAATAAACAGAAAGATTGAGCAAATTTGAGGATGTGTTTTCAAACTGAAGAGGAAACTGCAGCTTCCAGTGTTTCCTCTCCTCACAAGGGGGTCAGAGGTCACAGTTCACAGTCACAGATGATTTACAGACCTGATGGTAGAGGCCAAATACTTGTGAATGACTTGGGCTGCCAAACAAATCTATCATGATGAGTCTTTTTTAGCTTAGAGGCCCTATTGCGCTCGTTTTTAGGTTTATATTAGTATTTTCTGTCTCTACTGTCTCCATGCTTTAATGCTTTCATAAATTGTATTCCTTCAGCATAATAACCGTATTGATTCATAATGTTATTAAATAATAAAGATAGTAACAAGAGGCAGGAGCTATATTGGGGCATTTGTTTTTTAAATTGAGATGCATTGTTTTATTCTGGGAAACCTTTTTTGATAATTTCTTTTTTAATTGCTGGGTTTTTTTTTTTTTTTTCAGGCCATTGCTAAAAACTCAACACAATCTACATTTTATATCATAACTAGCCCTTACAGAAGGTGTTTTGAAAACAAATACAAATGTTTAGTTTAGAGTTTTAGTTTATTTCGCTCAACTGACCCAACTCAAATTCATATATTAAAATAGTAATAGTTAGTACTTTAGAATCAATCTTATAGTGACCAAAAAGTCTGAAACCCTAGCTTTTAACATAGCTATTATAATACTAAAATATCACCATGCAACCATTTCTGCATTGTCCCCTATAAAAGCTATGCATCATTTTGTATTTCAATGTTCACTCAGCGTACCTCCTGTCACACACATAGTAATGTCTCTGAACTCAGCCTAACCTTAAGACACTCTTAGGATTCTGGTAACACCAGACAATAACTAAAGCCCGCTATAGCCGTACTTAGGCTAATTATGGCTCTGAAAGTGCTATTAATGGAGGAGGCAGGTGACATGTGCACCACGACAAGACACTAATGCTCATATTAACTATATATAACGAGCACAGCGGGTCTACATTAAGGCTTCTAAAGGTTATCTTTGCTACCTTACC